TAATTGGATTTGGGATAATTAAGAGGGTATCATTGCTACCCTGGTTTGACAAAATTTTAAATTCAAACTAACAGGTATTTCTTGTTTTATTTTGTATTTGTCGGTAAGTTTATATTTATCAATTAATTGTAGATGTTTACAATCAAATCTTTTACCGCTAACCATAGTCTTAGTTAATTTGTCGTTTGTTTGAATAATAAATGAATATGCCATTTCCTCCCCACAACATGTTGAAGGCCATTTTGTATCGTTTCTAGTTTTAAAAATTAACTAATAATATTTAATCAAAATTTAATCTACGCCACATAATTCAAATACACAAAAATATATCTTTTAAGGTTATCAAAATGGACTGGATCGGTATGGACTGTTGGATGGACCTGGACCAAAACGGAATGGACTCCTCACTTATTATAGCTACTTATAAAAATTTTGCATAAATAACCAATTTAAATTTTGGAAATCAAAAAAGAGGGTACATTAAAATAAAATTTAATTAGTCCTAAAACCAACCTATTATTATCGTTTTCAATGCATTCTTCTAATTTTTTTCTTTCAAAAAGTAAATTTGAATTAATTAATTTTTTATTAGGAAGAATTTTGTAATTAACATAACTGTTATTTGGCCACATTTGTAACAAAAAATATAAGCAAAAAATAAAAGTTAAAAAAATTAAACAAAGAAAATATTTTGTTGAACAATTATTATTATTGTTTGTTCTTCCATTTGTAATTATTTTTCCATTAATTAAATTATTTAGTGGAGGATACATAATTTAAATTTTTATTAAATAAATTCTAGTAAAATATAAATTTTCTATTATAAACTGATGTCAACTTTTAGAAATTTCGAGGGATAGAATCCTGTGGGCGTAGATCCCGAACATGGATAAAGTCAAATAAAACCATGGATATTTCTCTAAATTTTTTTCTCTAACAAATTAAAAAATTGGCTTCGAGGCCTTTCAAAATTCTTAAAATTTTTGACTGTGGCGCTTAAGGACGTAATAATGGCTTATTATCCATCAGAGTGGTTCTGCTCTTATATAATTTTTAATTTATCTCAGGGCTTACATTTAATTTAAATAATTATTTAAGTTTATAAGTTATTGTTAAAAGTTTCTATAAAATTACTTTAAATTTATTTAAGCTAATTTAAATGAAAATGAAGACTGTGAAAACATACATTTATAAATTTATAAAATCATGAGAAAAATTTTTACTTTAAAAATAATTCTTTAAAATATGTACGAAATTAAACGATTTAAATTCAAAAATAATTCTTTATAAACAAAATTATTTATCTTGCCGAACTGCGTTCGTCAATTACAAAAAACGTGGAGATATTTATTTAATTAAGAGAGCGATTTTAAATACAGGTACAAATTTGTACACTATTGTGATTACAACAAAAAGAAATAAAACCAATAAAAATCACACCCCCCCCCGGGTGCACCCCAACCTACCGCGAGCCCAACCTATCGCCGAGGCTATAACTTCGTTCTAATTGTGGAATCTGAGACAACTTATATGGTTGGGCTGCGGTATGTTGGCCTGCTCCCCCCCCCCCCCCCCCATATTTGAGGCGCAGATTAATTTTCCTTTTTTACTGTAAATCATTCCCCTCAATTATTATAAGTTGAAGGAGTTCAATTAGTTAGGAATTCAATTAGATAGGAGGCATTTAATCCGCAATATTCAAAATTTGTTCAAAAAATTTTGGTTGTTAATTATCGCTTCGTACCAGCTACGAGTACGAATTTGTACGAGCTTCACAGCAAAAGGAAAGTAAAGAGCAGATTCTCTTTACGGAGAGTTAGACGGCGGTTGGACATTTATCCTGGAAAAGTTACATTTGTCTAACAAAAATAGAGCAAATAAACCCTTAAAACGAAATTGTTATGAATTTCTCAAACAATTGAAAGCTTTTAATTTTCGAACAAAAAAAATATATTGTTGGAAGGTTATTTTGTTTGTTTACTTGTTTTTTTCACAAAATAACAAAACACATTTTTGAAAGAATCATAACTATTTTTTCATCTTTACGTGTTAATAAAAATTGTAAGCTTATTTTTTAAGTAGAAAATATTAGGGAAATTGATGGATTTTTTGTAATATTAGTCCAAGTGATTTTATTTTAGAAATTCAAAACATCTTACCTAGGTCAAATGGTTATGGTATCTTAATTCGAAATTATTAAAAAGTTTAAAATATAAAAGAAAATAAATATTTTATTTTAAAATTTTAATCAAGTGCAGTAGAATAATTGGAATATTTACTAATTAAATATAAAAACAGTAATAATATTTTTCTGTATATTTTGAGTTGAATCTATTCAGACTAGATTTAAACTCATATTCGGTCTAGCAAATGAATTAATACTTTCTGGCAAATTTATTTATTAAATTATTTAAAATCCTAATTTATTTAAAAATCCTTTTATCAAATTTTCGGATAGGTAACTCTTGGTCAGAAAAAATGAAAATAAAGTAAAAAACCCAAATTTATGAAAGAAATTTATAATTTTATGTTAAAATTTGTTTACAAGTAAATTTTATCGTTTTAATGTTAAAATCAAAAAATAAAAAAAGGCTTTCCCAATTTTTTAAAATTATTTTTTATTAAAAATATTTTATTTTTTCCAAAAATAAAGGTTGGATACGACTTAAAAATTGTGCGGATATAAACGGATACCGATATGACCTCACGGATAGATCCGGCACAAATAGGAAAACTCTATATACATATGACCATTTCTAGTAAAAATTGAGTTTTTGATTTATTGTTACTAATAGTTAGACCTGCTCATGGACACTGATTTTAGCATACGCATAATTTTTATCAAAAATTTTTATAAGAAATAGGTTGAAATAATTTTAGAAGATTAGCACAGATATCATATGAATTATTTAGAATATGAAAAAAAGTTAATTATTAATTTTAATTAAATATTGGTATTTGAAATTTTTGGAAAGAAAGAGGTTTTTTAATTTAAATTCCAGTTACACAATTTATAGTTAATTACATTTGTCTGTTTTACAAACGGAACAACCCCAGTGTTGTATATTATTTTTTTCGCAATAATTAGCATCATTTGTGCATCCTGGAAAGAATTAATTGTGTAAAAAATAATTTTATAGGATTAAATTTAGATATAAATGTTTGAGGTTGTCTTAAAAATTTTAAATTTTTGTTTGGTAAAATTAAACAAAGAAAATTTAAGATGTTTTTTAATTATAAAACTTTAACTACCTTGACCCTCAAAACTTTTCATGCAATATTCACCTATACAAGTTATTGTTTTATATGGTTTAAGTGGTCCATTCGGCCATGTAGTTTTAAAGCATTCAAGTGAATTTGATTTACCTTATATTTTTAAATTTAGTAAAATATAAGAAAAAATGTTTCTTAGGGTTGTTTATAGTTTGTGAATAGAGAGTTGGCTGGTATCAAGATCCCAATTGGGATCGAGCGGGATTATCTCGATTTCTTTGAATCCCTATACCTATTATGCTGATCCCGAGCCCTAAAGAATAAATCTCGAGACGGGATCGGTATCGGGATTTGCATACTCTCTAAAGTTTTTCTATCTACCTGAAAAAGTAACAAATATAATAATCAAGGCAACAAAATATAGATTGCAATTTATAGCCATGTTTTATTATTTTTTAAATTTATCTCGAATTAATAGGAGATTTAATTAAATTATAATTAAAATTTCCAAAGGTTCATTCATAAAACTTTAAAACAATTTAGAAATAAAAGAAATTATTAATACATATACTAAATAAATTAATTTAGATTATAAAATAATAATTCAAATAATTTTCCTTTATATGTATCCTCGTTGGAATTTTAATTATAAAGTCACAAATAAAATATAAAAATTAAAATTCAAAGTTTATGTAAAAATTATTAATAAAAAGATTAAAAATTTAAAAATCTCTACTATTTTTCTATAATTTAATTCTAATTTAGTGTTTGACGCAAATAATTTTTAATAATTTTTTTGTTTGTTTGAACAGATTCTAATTTTTCAAACATCGATTTAAAAAATTAAAATAGTTTGGTAAATTTTGAAAGAAAATTAATTTTTATATTTGAATAAAATTTAATAAATTTAATTTTATCACAAGGTTTCTTCAAAAATTCTTCAGATTTAGTTTTATAAAGTCGATAAAATATATACTATATTTAATTCTGAGAAATATTTTATTAAATATTTCCCAATTTAAGACGTTTCCCCGTCGTTATTAAGAATATTTCAGCACGATAAGGTAAAAAATTCAGAATCCGTGGTAACTGGCTCTAAAACTGGCTCTAAAAGTTATGGGTTCCAAAATTCTGTAAATTTTCGCCTGCGGCGCTGAAAAATGAGAAATCTGGCTTCTTAGCGTTCCAAAATTTTCACCTACGGCGCCAATTGGGTAAGTTATGTGATGCAACACCCTCCTATTGATCAAGGTAAGGAGGATTATCAATGTTGATGAATGGATAAGAATTGGATTGTTAATTAAAGTATAAAAAATACATAGAATGGATCTTTTTCCAATTTCTCGCGATAAAATTTCGAAATTTATTACCTTTAATTGGAACCACTGGTTGGAATTAACACCACACGAGTTGTTCTTATTTTAAAATTGAAAAGAATTTAGAAAATAAATTAAAATATTTTTGATTTATGTACTCTCAGATTAGTGTTATGTATTATATGTATAACTTGTTCAATTATTTAATTTATTAAATTAATTTGCAAATTATTTATCGTTAGAATTTATAGTATAGTTAACTTAATTATTATTAATATGTATTCTCAAATATTTATTATTTATTTTTATTTATTTGTTTTTATATTCTTCCTCTTTTTATCACTTTATTCTTTATTCTGTTCAAAACTAAAAGAGAATATTTTAAGGAAAATATTAAAAATTATTTCAAATTCTCAAGAATTATTTTGACTATTTTGTTCTAAGTAAATTATTTATTTATTTTTAACCTTATTAAGGGCATGCACAAAATTTGACCGCCGCAAGCAAATCCTTTTGACAATCATCCAAGTTACAACCAACCAAAACTGTAAGAGACAATAAACAGTCCTTATATTTGCAACAAAAGTCGCAAGCTAAATTATCACTTCCAGTAACAGCAGTCATGCTTATAAGAAGGAAAATAATTCCGAAAACTAACTTGTTCATTTTTAACTGAAATTTTAAATTAAACTAGGGCATCGATATCTGCGGATTTTATCTCATTTTGTGGTTTTTTGATAGGTCAGTGAGAATTATATTTAAAGATGCATATTTGCGGATTTTTATAATCTTTTAAAGATTATGAGGATTTTTTATATTTTCTTGTAGTTTTTAGTATAAAATGTCATCATTTTTCCCCTAAGGCCTTCTAAAATCCTCAAAATTTTCGCCCGCGGCGCTGAAAATGGAAGATTTTTAAAAATTCGAGATCGAAGCCCTGAATTAGACATAAATTAAGCAAAACTAAAGTAAATAAAACAATCAAATTTTTTATTATTTGATATTAAAGTATATTGGAATATTTATGATATTTAATATTTTTAAATGATTGCTTTTCTTTAAAATTCCCAACTATTTATATCCGATTCTCTGACTAAACTTTAACAATAACAATTTTAAAAATTAATGTAAATATTTTTGAATTTTATAAATAATAATCAAAAAACATTTTCTATTTTTATTGCAAAAAAATTTAAATTTTTATGATATTATTTCTAAAAAACAATCTAATATTTATTGACCAGATCAAAATAAATTATTCATATAAATATACTTTTAAGTGTAAATATTTATAAAATTTGTCATCCAAAATTCTTAAAATAGTAATCTATTTTTGTATCAATTCCAATAATTTGAATATATTTATGATATCATTTAAAAAATTATTTTTAGAAAATATTTTAAAAAATTTTTAAAAATAATAAAACAAATAAAAGTAATTTAATATATTCTTACTTTTGTAAAAGATATAGATATTTGAAAATCTTTGTTCTTTAACAAAATTTAAATAATTTTTTATGAGAGCTCAAACTTACTCACAATTTGGATGTTTAATAAGCCAAAATTGACAAAAAATTCAGATTATATAAAATTTAGGTATTCTTATTACTTCTCGCTTGTATCTTTCATTGTCCTTAATTTTTAATTTCTCTTTATTAATTGTCAAACGTAATTAATGAATAAAAATATTTGAATATAATTTTGTATAAAATCAAAACTTCGAAAACTAATCTTATATTTGGGCTTCACCTGACGAAATGTATTTTCAGAAAAAAAATAAATTTCAATAAAAATCCGGAACCTATTAATTAGTAAATTAATGTTTACAACATATGTTAGTAATTTAAAGTTTGGAGTAAACAATTTAATTTATTTTCTCTGTAAAATATTTGATGAAAAACTTTTTCTTATAAGACGTCAAATAAATATTTATGTAAGTACATTTTACAAAATATAAACTATTTTTTTGTAAATTAACAAGAATAGTTTGTTTTGTGCTAATCTTAAGGTTGTTAAAAATTTTTAGTGAAAAAAAAGTTTGTGCTTTCTGGCGAATAAATAATTATGAAGAAAAATCTAGAGAAGGTAGGCTATAAAATTTGTGTCGAGTGGCCTTCAATCCTAATTAATTAAGCAATTTAATATTTTTTTTCAAAACTTCTCTTTAATCTACATAATTTGATGTTGGTTTCATGATGAAAAATTAAAAAATTTGACACAAGATTTTGTGTATATAAATAAGTGGAAATTTTTGAATAATTAAAAATATTCCATACAAAATCTTCTTTTAATTAATTCACTCCATTTAAATTCTTACTAAATTTATTTTAAATATTTCCTAGAAAAAATTTATAAAAATGAAAATTTTCCTGACAATTTTTCTACTAACATTATTAGTTGCTGTATCCTATGGAACTGAAATGGGAGTAGAAAATTCAAAGGGAATTCAAGAAACTGAAGAAATAAAGGGCGTAAATGGAAAAATACCACAGTGAGTTTAATATAAATTTTTTATGAATTACAGAATCTCTTGAATAAAAATAGGAAACAACCCAATATGGATCATATTTTAAAAAATAATTTACTCACTAAAAATTATTCAATTTTTTCATTCAAATTTTAAAATTCTTTAGTGGCCGACATAAGCGTTGGTGGGGAGGCTGGTATGGAGGTGGGTGCTGTGGTGGTGGATGGGGATGGTGATCACGCTAGTTTCCTTCATCTTTTAGAACAATTTAGAAGGCAAATGACCATATTAATGAATAAAGGAATAAAAAATGATTTTTAAGTCTATTTTAAGATTACCCTGTAAGGAATGTGCATTATTTATCATAATAGAAAGATTTATTTGATTTAAACTCTTAAATAAAAATCTGTTTAAAAATTTTCAGTTGTGGATAAATATTTTTCGTAGATTGTGGGATCCGGTAATCGGAGATAGTGTTGAACGCAAGAGAATTTCAAAAAACACAAGAAATCAAAATTAAAAATTATTTATAACATGAAACCAGTGTTTGAATCTTGTAACATAACGCTTAAGAAAAATAATAGAAAGTATAATCAAGTGCGAAAAAAACTGTGTGTTTACGATTAAAACTAGAATTATGTATATAAAAAAAGTTGAAATTTTTATCGTGGGGGAACAGGATAATTTTAGTAAAATAATGTGGTGATTGCAGTGAAATTTTAATAAATTTGAGTAAATCTGTTTGTCTTTTTGCTCCCTGCATTAACACAATTCGACATTCCTTTGACATTTATTTCAACATTTCCTTCAACAGATTTTCCCTCAAGTTTAAGCTCTTCAAGTCTATTTTTAATAAATGTGTGTGTTTCCAAAAAAGCTTCCGAATTGTTTCCACGTAACGTCATTAAATTCATGCCTGACAAAATGCATTTATCGAAACGGCAACTTTTACATTTTAAAGAACCTTCAAATTTTAAATAAAAATTTATTTTTTATTATTTATTTGTTCACCTTTAGAAACATCACATATCCCATTATTTTTACATTTAATAATATTTTTATTGGAAATACAACGACGAAAAAAGTGTTTATAGCCTGATAATATGTTGAAAAAATTAGTTAGGTTTAAAGTTAAATTTAGATGAATTTTAACTGAATTTAGGCAAAAAATTCTAAGTTTATTCAAGTCTGGATGCTTATTTTAATTTCGAACTTTATAATCTTGAAGCATTTTTAATTTAATATAAATTCTAAGTTTGATTATCGTTCAGCTTTCCTAAAGTTTATAAACCTAAAGTTACATATGTTTAATATCTAACATTAAAGTTAAGTGTTCAAGTTTATCCAAATTTTAATTATACATAAATATTTTATAATTAATTTACCATCACAACACATAGCATTATAAAATACATATCCACTTGCTATATGTCCACAAACAATACAATTTGTTGGAAAAGCACGTTTTTTCATACTATTTTTAGAAACTGAAGAATTTTCAGTCAAATCTTCATTAAATTCCTTAGTTTCTTTCCCCTTATCATTAGTAGTATATTTTAGTGTATCTACAGAGGATTCACTAATTGTTTTGTTAATATTTCCTTTTTCTGATATTTCAGAATTTGAGTTGTTGAAGAAAAAAGAGTCAGCAGACATTTTATATTCTCTAAAAAATATTTTTTAATTGTTAGATAATCTCACAGAGTTATGTTCGGGGTTTAATTTAGTTTAGTTAGTTAAAAACTTGTTTTGGTTGCGGTTATATGTTAACAAACTTAAAAAACGTTTAAAATTATTTAATATTTTAAATTAATTATTATTTATTTAATTAGTATTAAAATTTTGGATTTAAAAACCCAAAGTAAATTTATATATATAAATTTCTTTAAGGTATAAAAATTATTGGCAAATCACGGCAATTAAGAGGGACAGTCTAAATTGATTAGTGCAATTATTCATAGGCTACGACAAATATTTTTGATTTTTGTGTAAATTTGTGTTTATAATGTTTGTGAATTTTATAATAGATCACGCCACCCTCTCATATAGCCCAATTAAACTTGGTTTTTTAGGAAAAGTTTTGCCTTCTAAATTCTTCAGAAAAAATTTTTCTAAAAACATTTACCGTTGTTCAAACAACATCCCACATTTGTTGGAACAAATTTTGTGATTTTTAATGATTATACATCTGGGCGGAAAGGACTTGTTCGGGGTAAATGTCCAGCTCGTCCTCCAAATGCCCGCAAATGTCTTTTCCTTTCCTATCTCTACCATAATCTTCCTCAGGTAATTAGAGATCGGAAGTAATTAGAGATTCTTTTGCCTTATGAACAGCGATGTGGTCCGTTGAAAGATCCAGTTACTATTTTCAAGTATCCGTATCTTTTACAAAAGTAAACATATACTATTAAATGACTTTTGTTTTGTTTTATTTTTTAAAAAATTTTTAAAAATATTTTCCAAAAATGATTTTTTAAATGATATCATAAATATATTCAAATTATAGGAATTGATACAAAAATAGATTACTATTTTAAGAATTTTTTGGATGATAAATTTTGAAAATATTTACTCTTAAAAGTAAATTTATATAAATAATTTATTTTGATCTAGTCAATAAATATTAGTTTGTATTTTAGAAATAACTAAAATTTAAATTTTTTGGCAATAAAAATAGAAAATGTTTTTTGATTATTATTTTTGAAATTCAAAAATATTTACATTAATTTTTAAAATTGTTATTGTTAAAGTTTAGTCAGAGATTGAGATATAAATAGTTGGAGATTTTATAAAAAGTAATCATTTAAAAATACTAAATATCATAAATATTCCAATACATATACTTTAATATCAAATTATATAAAATTTGATTGTTTCATTTACTATGATTTAGTTTTGCCTAATTTAATGTTTGATTCAGGGCTTCGATCACGAATTTATAAAAATCCGCAATTTTGAGCGCCTGAAGATACTAAAAACCACAAGAGAGCATAAAAAATCCTAATAATCTTCAAAAGACCACAAAAATCCGCATATCCGCATTTTTAAAAATAATCCTCATCGAACTATCAAAAAACCAAAAAATAAGGAAAAATCCGCAGATATCGAAGCCCTCGTTTAATTTAAAATTTTAGCAAAAATGAACAAGTTAGTTTTCGGAATTATTTTCCTTCTTATAAGCATAACTGCTGTTACTGGAAGTGATAATTTAGCTTGCGACTTTTGTTGCAAATATAAGGACTGTTTATTGTCTCTTACAGTTTTGGTTGGTTGTAACTTGGATGATTGTCAAAAGGATTTGCTTGCGGCGGTCAAATTTTGTGCATGCCCTTAATAAGGTTAAAAATAAATAAATAATTTACTTAGAACAAAATAGTCAAAATAATTCTTGAGAATTTGAGATAATTTTTAATATTTTCCTTAAAATATTCTCTTTTAGTTTTGAACAGAATAAAGAATGAAGTGATAAAAAGAGGAAGAATATATAAATAAAAAAATAAATAAATAATAAATATTTAAGTATATTAATATACTAATTAAGTTTACTACATATACTATAAATCCTAACGATAAATAATTTACAAATTAATTTAATAAATTAAATCAATGAACTATTAAATAATTGAAACGTCAGCCACCATCTCAGTTTTTTAGGAAAAGTTTTGATTTATTTAAAAAGTTTACCTTCTAAATTCTTCAAACAAAATGTTGAATTAATAACACTGACTGAGGGTTTACTAAGGGTACTTTGATTGACGATTCTTAGGGCTGCTTCGCGCGGTTTAATTACACTAGGTTTCTTAATTTTAGCATAAAATACAACCCATATTGGATAGATAAAAGCAGCAGCATAGATAATGCCGTCCAGTTTACCGAACAAGTCCTTGAAGCTTCCACCCAAGTTTAAATTTATTAAAAATCAAATGTTGTTTGTCAACAGTAAATGTTATTGTAAAATCTTTTAATTGAATAATTTACAAGGCAAAAACTTTTTAAATAGATCAAAACTTTTCCTAAAAAACCGAGTTTAATTGGGCTATCTGAGAGGGTGGCGTGATCTATTATAAAATTCACAAACATTATAAACACAAATTTACACAAAAATCAAAAATATTTGTCGTAGCCTATGAATAATTGCACTAATCAATTTAGACTGTCCCTCTTAATTGCCGTGATTTGCCAATAATTTTTATACGTTAAAGAAATTTATATATATAAATTTACTTTGGGTTTTTAAATCCAAAATTTTAATACTAATTAAATAAATAATAATTAATTTAAAATATTAAATAATTTAAACAGTTTATTTAAGTCTGTTAACATATAACGGTAACCAAAACAAGTTTTTAACTAACTAAACTAAATTATAACCTCATACTTAAATCTGGGATTTTATAACAAAAAATTTTTTTAGAGAATATAAAATGTCTGCTGACTCTTTTTTCTTCAACAACTCAAATTCTGAAATATCAGAAAAAGGAAATATTAACAAAACAATTAGTGAATCCTCTGTAGATACACTAAAATATACTACTAATGATAAGGGGAAAGAAGCTAAGGAATTTAATGAATATTTGGCTGAAAATTCTTCAGTTTCTAAAAATAGTAAGAAAAAACGTGCTTTTCCAACAAATTGTATTGTTTGTGGACATATAGCAAGTGGATATGTATTTTATAATGCTATGTGTTGTGATGGTAAATTAATTATAAAATTGAAAAAATATTTACATGTACATATAAGTAAAATTTGGATAGACTTAAAGACTATAATTAGATGTTAAGATATTAAACTTATATTTGTCAGATTAATTTTCATTTTTTACTGTCAATTATTCTTTCCTCAAAAATTATAGTAGTTAAGGAGCAAAAGTTTCAAGGAGTAAAATTAACAGTAAAAAAGGAAAATTAATCTGAGACCCAGATACGAATGGGGGTGAGATACTATTAATAAAGTACCCTTAGATTTAGAATTTATATTGAGTCAAAAATGCTTCAAGTTTGAATGTTTGAAATTAAAATAAGCATCCAGACTTGAAAAAACCTAGAATTTTTTGTTTAAATTTAGCTAAAAAATATCTTAATTTTAAACTTAACTAATTTTTTCAACATATTATCAGGTTGTAAACACTTTTTTCGTCGTTGTATTTCAAACAAAAATATTATTAAATGTAAAAATAATGGGGGATGTGATGTTTCAAAAGGTGAACAAATAAATAATAAAAAAAAATAAATTTTTATTTAAAATTTGAAGGTTCTTTAAAATGTAAAAGTTGCCGTTTTGATAAATGTATTTTGTCAGGAATGAATTTAATGACATTACGTGGAAACAATTCGGAAGCTTTTTTGGAAACACACACATTTATTAAAAATAGACTTGAAGAGCTTAAACTTGAAGGAAAATCTGTTGAAGGAAATGTTGAAATAAATGTGAATCAAATATCGAAAAAGACAAACAGATTTACTCAAATTTATTGAAATTTAATTTCAATCACATGATTATTTTACTACCCATGTATTTAATTTAGTGGTCATCACTAAAAATTTTAACTTTTTATAAATTTTATTTGTCTTTATTAATTTGTTTCATTATTATATTCTTATAACAATCTGTAACTCAAATTTTTTAAAATATTTTTTCAATTATAAAAAGAATTCGCCAGCTCGCATTCTACCTTCTGCAAATGCAATCCGCAAAGGCATTCTGTAAACGGCATTTTTGCTGCATTCTCCTCCTTTTATTCTTTCACTTCATTTTCTTTGAGTTACCAAATATTATCCTTCCAATATTTTTATATTAGAATAAAGATAAAAAGACTAAAAAAATTTTCACTCTTGAATGTATATTAAAATGCACATGCTTAAACAAAAACTTTTCCATTGATAGGAAAATTTTCACTGTTCTCGATATCATTTCCCTTCACACATCTTTTTTGAAAACAAATTTTTTAAATACAGCAAAAGTTATGGGGAAAATATTATTTGTATATTATAAGTGAAGAGTGAAGAAAATGGGATCTTGAGTGATGAAACTGTGAATTTCTTAAAAAGATGTTTAATTTAGTTGCTTTAAAATAATTTTGTAATATTTTAAATATTTTTTGTTTCAAACAATTTTTAAAATTTATCAAAAAATAAAATGCCTCCCTCCCATTTTAATACCCCTTCATGCCCATACGAAGGATTTATTAAAATAGAATATCTGGGTATTAATTTAAGACGGAGTAGGATATTTAGATTTATAAAAAGTTGAAATAAAAATACTTGTTAGCAACTTTTATTTTTTTAAAAAATTAACAGTTTAATTAATTTAGTATTTTATTATTTTATTAATAAAATTTCCATTCTTTACCAATTCCATTATTATTCCTCATCTAAATATAAAAATTAATTTTTTTTATAAAATTACAAAAAACCTCCATGATGACAACACCCAATATTTTCACAAATTGATTTAATAATTTTACAAACAACAGTATCACCGCTCTCGTAACCACAAGTATAATGACAATACTTTTCACAATCCAATTTTAAAATAGAACAATGTTTGGCATTGGTAGAGACAACAACAATAGCCATAATTAGGGCAATAATAATTAAATAATTTTTCATTTTTAATTTAATTTAAAAATAATTGAATGATTCTAATAAATTAACTTAAAAACGAAAATATTTACCTATTGTCTCTAATAGAAGACCGTTCCAATAGAAGCCCATGCCCTAATAGAAACCCACCCAATGAGTGGTATTGAAAAATAGAGGCCCAGAGTTTGTATTAGGGACAATACGGTATATGAAATGAGATTATCGTCAACTATGAAAATTCAACATTTATTTTATATTTCGTTCAATAAATTTAAAAATTTAAATTTAAGATAATTGAAAATTATAAGTATTTTTGTAAGAAAGTGGTAAAAGTTTAGCCCGGGCAGCTTTTGTGACTTCTAGGCAGTTAGTCTATGAGGTGAGCTAACGACTGAGTGTTAATGATGGAATGATTTCACCATCTCTTTTAATAGACATTAAATTCTAGCAGCTTCATCTTCCTTCTTCCTTTACATTGTTTAAAATTTCCATTGTTTAAAATTATATTCGTCAGTTTTTATTTTTTGTTCCTTACATGTATAAACAAATAAACAATTTGGATTAAAAAAACTTTCTTCACAACTATTTGAAAGAATTATATACAAATAAGCAATTTCGGCCCCAAACAATCAAAGAATAATTTTGTTTTATTTATTGAGAGTCAAACATTTAAAGTTTTTAATTTAAAAATAAAAATGAGGAAATAATATGGAATTGCTTGCTATGCGGAAATAAATGTTAACAATCTTACTAATATATTTAAATAAATTTTATTAACAATAAATTCTTTCAATCTTCTATATTGTTATTGTTGCGTGATAAAAACGAAGATTGTTAAGATTGAAATTTTATTTTTAACTACGTGTAAATTTGAAAAATGAACAAACATTTATTGTTTATTGTTAGTTATTTTTAAATTTTTATTTTAAAAAATTTTTGCCTCATTATGAAATAAATATGGAAATATGATATTATTCATAACCACGAATTCTAAACAGGAAGGTATTACAAAACTTATACGTCATTTAAGATGTGTAGAAAATTAAAAATAGATTGTAATTAAATTGGTAATTTATTATTAAATCAATTTGTGATTATATTGGCTGTTGTTATCATGAAAGTTTTGGAATTTTAAAATTATTTAAAACTATTTGTAATCATTTTTAGATAAAAAAATCACAGGATATCCATGTGTAAATTAATGCAATGTTTAATTAATTATTTATCCAATTAATTACCTAATTAATGTCTAAATAATTAAGTGTATTTTCGAAATTGTTTAAACATTTAATTTAAAATAAATGTCAGTTGTCTCGGGTTAGGGTTCGAATTTCGACATAATTTTTATGTCAAAAAAATTGCCATAAAATATAGATATTAATTACAAAATTTCATTTAAATCTGTCCACTCAGTAAAAGTTTATTAATTTTTCAAATAGCGCTTTTCAGCTGAAACACCCTGTATTTTAATCGAGATACTTAAGGCCTTATAGAGACTGTAATGTATTGTAATTATAAAATTACTGTAATAATCGTAATATAAAAGTATTTGGAAGAATATTAGAATTATTTGGTTCCCATAGGCTCAGTTTCTCCTAGTGAAAAGAAGGATTAAGGCCGAAGCCAGGTGAGTGATTTACTCCTATGTTATAAAATTAAAAATTATATTTACAAATTAAATTTACTTAATTAAAAATAACTATTTATTTCAAAATATTTCATGGAGAAGAAGATTAATGTAAAAAAGTGTATGTGAGTGAAGAATGATTTTGTAACCCATTCCTCGTGAGACTTTGGAGAATATAATAAAAATGACAATGATTTAAAATACTCTATATCTCGGTTCACAGGTCTCGTACATTTTATGGTCAGAATAATTATTTTAAAATCTTTAAAATATTACTTCAACTTTAGAACTTGAAAGATTTGCAATGTAAAAAATTTAATTGTCAAAAGTGAATCACATGGTTATTAAATAAATTAACTCTCATGACTAATATGAACATGACAAACAATTATTGTATAAATAATGACAAATAATTTAATTGTTTCCAGCTAACTTTTCGTTAAATATGCTCAATGTTATTTTCTGTTAGAGTCATAAATTAAATTAATATATAAATATTCTTAATATGTACATATTATTCAAATTAATCTAAAATTAAACTCTAAATGGCCCATCATTTATTACAAATTTTAATCGTTCTAATTTTATTTTTCCTTCCGAGTTACTATGCACAATTTAGCCCTTCATTTCGGGAATTTCTAAAAGATTATGGTGGTAACGATCTTGAGAAACTACTTACAAGAGAGGATCTTGGGGCGAAAGGAAGTTATGGAGGAGGAAATCATAAGGCTGGAGAGAAGACAAAGTACGAAGGGAATATTAGTATGATGAGTCAATTTAAATTTGAATATTCTTAGAAGACAACCAGTAATTTTTGTACACGGTATGGCAGAAAGTGCAGGCTCAACAAAATCGTTTGAAAAATTTTTCAAGGTTCTTATGACATTAAACTTCATAAAGCAGTTTAAAATAAGGATAATGGTTTTGACGGTGCAGAGATTTTTGCTACTACATATGGGGATGCAGGAAAAACTAATCTTAATTTTGTTGAGATTGACTGTCAATTCGTTAAAATGGTTGGATTTAAAAGGCTCTTATTACTCTAGATAATTTTTAAAATTCATCAACAGATTCGTCTTATGATTTTAACTGTATCTAATTATACTTCTAATAAGGTTAATATTGATGGATTCTCTTTGGGAGTTGTTATTTCAAGAAAAGTGAGTGAGGATCACATCATGTACAAGATAAAATAAAAACTCCATTATAGGCAATATTGGGAGGAAAATGTGTTGATACAGGCGAAAATCTTGGCCCACCATTAACTCATTTAGTGCATACATTTGTTGGAGTTGCAGGACCGAATTGGGGATCATTTCTGTGCATTTTACCCATCGGAGCATGTAATTTATTGAATGGAATTAATTGCTTGTCGACATACTTAAAGGACATTAATTCAAAGTGAGAGACAATTATAAACTTAATTTTATTAAAATAAAGAGAAAGATATGAGGGCAGCTTTATCTTCACAATATTTTCAACGGGCGATGATATTGTTGGATATGAAGTCTGTGGAAAAGTATCAAGTAGTATTGAAGGCGCAGATGATAATTTTGAGGTAAAATAAAAAATAATAATAATAAAAAATAAATTTATGTAGTTTCAAAATATGACTCATTCTGAACTAATTTTAAATACAATTAAATTGCAATACGACCTGATAAACTTTCAACAAGCTGATGATGATGACCTTTCATGGGTGGAATAAATTAAAAAAAATATAAATTAAAAATAATTATTTAAATTATCCTATTAAATGTTTATCTATTAATTATCCTATTAATTTAAATTATCCTATCCTATTAAAAATAATTACACGATTAATTATTGTCTGAGAGGGTTGAGGCAATTGAGGGAGGGGGCAAATATTAGTGTAATAAAATTTGAACTAGCAGTAGGGCATTTGTGGGAGAGTGATTATTGTTCCATTGTCACATTGAAAGGGCTAATTAGTCGAGAGGGGGCAATTATTTGTGAGTATTTATTCGAGCATATATGTACTGTAAACATTATAAAATTAATATTTATATTTGTAAAAATTAAATTTATTATAATATATAAAAATAAATAAAAAATTTTAATTAAATTTTTTTCTATAATTCATCTTTAGATTTTAAGGTTTCTTTATTTATTCCTCTAATAACATCAAAAGAATAATTTTCTGTCAATTTTTGCCAAAATTTTAATTTTTCGGGATACAATGCTGATTCCATCTTTGGGTTAGTTGGATTTAACCGGGCAAATTGTAAAGGATTTTTGGTGTTTAAATTGTGCCATTTAAGTGTTGATATGCTTGGATTGCTTAAATTAATTTTTTATTTAATTATGAAAAAAATTGGGATTTTTTAAAAATATTTTGAAATTTGAGAAAATTTTGAAAATAAAAAAAAATTTCCTTGATTTGAAAAAAATTCTAAAAGTTTTAAAAATTCTGGAAATTTCGAAAAAAATATTTTATCTTAGAAAAAATTAAAAACAGACCCAGTAGTAACAAAATTAACGACAGAATTGAGTAACACTTTTTCAAATTCCAAATCCTCTTCAGAGAATTCCTCGATATGAAAAGGACATTCAGTAATATTAAATAAAGCAGGAAGCTCTACACAATGGTAGCTTCCTTTAAAAATTAAATTTATACTTAATATTAATTCTGATTTTTGTGATTTTTTTAATTCTGATTTTTTCTTTGAATTTCTGATTTTTTGTATTTTTCTACTAATTTTGGATAATTTTTATTTAATTTTAAATTAAATCCACCTTTAATAGGGATATTTTTTGGATAATATTTCTTATTATAATAATCAATCATATACATGAAAACAGACCACCCTTTTTCAAATTTGTAATGGACTTCTTGTAACATAGGTACAATAAACATAAGATCTGTATTTAACTAAAAATTTGTCGATATTTAATAATTCTGATTTTTGTATTTTTAATATTCTGATTTTTGCATTTTTTCGTATTTTTACTTTTTGATTTTTAAAATTCTAATTTTTGTATTTTTAATAATTCTGATTTTTGTATTTTTAATGATTCTGGTTTTTGATTCTTTAATAATTCTGATTTATGTATTTTTTTGTATTTTTAATAATTCTGGTCTCTGTATTTTTAATAATTCTGATATTATAATAAAACAAACATCTAAGTATTTCTTCAAGAAATACAAAGCCTCTTCTTTCCTATTTTTTCCATCAATTTTACCATTATCAGATAAATAAAAGTCAATTATTTTTTGTTGCACTTCCCTGCCTTCATTTTCATTAACAAACGCATTCTTCGGGGCAATTATATTTCTAACAAAATTTTCAAATTTTTTTCTATTATAATTTTCAATTTCTTCAGGTTTCACAGACATTCCACCATCCATAGAATTTTCTTTGTCTAACAATAGTACTTAAAAAAATTTTTTTTCTATTTTAAATTATTTTTAAAAAAACTAAATGTAAGGGCTTCAGTATCTGCAACGCCGATAAAGTTTCTTTTTGTAGGCGCATTTTGAAGCAAAGTTGTAACATCATTTGGGAAGAAATCTGCATCTATTCGGGGGGTAAAAAGAAGCGAATTGGGCTCCATCCTAGCTGAACCCTGAAAATTATTTTTGTAATCAAACACCCATTCTCTATATCAACCAACCATTCTCTCTACAGCATCCATTAATTCCTCCACAGTTTTACCTCTCAAACACTTTTTTAATTCTTTAGAATCATCCAAAGTATCATCACAACCAGCAAATTTAGCCATTTTTTCAGTTTCAAAAACCACCCGATTAGATACTGACCATTCAGAAAAGAATGTGCCGCTCATTTGTATAGTTTGTTGGAAAAGATTATTTGATAGAGGGGAAATACTTAAACCACTGACACTTGCTGCGCCTTTAAAAAATATTTTTTTAATTTCTTTATTAAGAATTAGGCACCTGGATGAGACTAATGGGCTTTTGATGCCTTTTTTGTGAACCCTACGTCATGAATTAATTTTGATTTTTAATTTTTAATAAAGTTTTAATTAGACTGGGAGGAATCTAGATCGAGATTTCGAAAAATATCGTTCTCGATAATCGAGATTTTTTTCGAGATCTCGTCTTGTCCGATCTCTAGTTTCAATACATTTTTAATACTCTCACATTTACGTCAGTTCTTTCCGTCCGAAAGGTGACTTACAAATGAGAGTAAATTTCTAAATCATTCAAACTGTCCGTAAAAAAATAATTATGCAAAATGACTACATTATTGCCGATTTAATTTTTATCAAGAATCCAAATATGTAATTACCAGCACTAAATCCAGAAATAGTTATTCTTTGGGGATCTCCTCCGAATCTCTCAATATTATCTCGCACAAACTGTAAAGCTCTCAATTGGTCCCATAATCCATAATTCCCTGCAAAATTCTCATCTCCCGTTGAAGCAAAACCTTTAGGGAAATTCCTTTTAAAAATTAAAAAAAATATTTTTGTGCCTAATTGTCCAATTCTATATTGGAAAGCAACAAAAACAATATTATTTTTGGCATATTTTTTGGCCATCGCTTCTTGTGGAATTTCTCTAGTTGTACCAGTTTGGTAGCCACCTCCATGAATAAAAACTAGAACTGGATAAAGGTGACCATTATCAGACTGTTAATAATTATATATAAATTAATATTGTGTAAACATTATAAAATAACCACTTGAACTGAAATATTGTGTATCTTATAATGAGTGTATCTCAAATAGAATTTATCGTTTGCCTACTAGTCAGCTAATCCTTAAAAGGGCTTAAAATGAGTGTATCCCTATTGGGATTAATATAAGCCTAATTAAATGACACAATATTTCAGCCTACAATGTGTATCTACTGGGATCCACTAATTTTCCATTATTTATTCATTTACCTCCCAAGCAGGAGTTGCAATATCCATATAAAGACAATCCTCGCTGTGATCCTTCTCTAATGCCATCATACCCTTTTTAACGAATGGAAAACAGGCTGGAGCCCTTTCGGTCGTATCTTTGATATTTTTCCATTTTTTAGGTTCTTGAGGTTTCTTGAATTTATTTTTTATTTAATTTTATCTCTAAGTTTTCGTAAATATGTATTATAAGAATAGGTAATTTTCTGAAAAAAGTTAATCTTTTGCGGTCATCTTTGCGTGCATTTATTTTTTTCATAAAAAATTTAAATCCGGGAAACATCCAAAATTTCTTCAATTTTGGCCAAAAATCCTTTTCTTAAATAATGCTTGCCTCAAATCGAAGTTGATTAATTGGAGGTTTTGCAAAGGGAATGCCTAAAAACATTTTTACAGTTTTTGGCGTAGTGTCCTCATCAATAGTTAACGGAAATCCCCGAATTGTGCCATAAGTTGTTTCTACCAAAAAGGGATCATTTGTAGTTATTGGAAGAGGGAATAATAATAAAAATAAAATTAATAACATTTTTACTAAAAAATATTTAAAATTAGAAATATTCAATCGAGTTTGTAAATCTTAATTTTAGCTTTTCCAAAAGGTTGGATTATCCCATAGAACCTAGGTATAAATGATATTAAAAAATATTATTACAAAATTTAAAGAGAATCTGAGAAAAACAGAACGAACTATGTAAATGTTTTGGGTGGTCATATCTATTGTTGAACGCAAAATTTTTTATTATTTTCTATTGACTTGGGAAGGGAAAATTGTACTAAAAATTGATTCAGCCGGGTTTATTTTGCCTCAACTATGTATTTACTGCTTTGCTTTACCCGCAACTATTCTCGCTAAAATAAAATTTTTCATCGACGACTTTTTCTAAAATATGTAAACAAATTAATAAAAATAAATTTCTTCTTTTATTTAAATAAAATTGAAATAATAATAAAGAAAATAGTGGTATGATTTTTTAAATGAATTATTGTTAATATCAGCGTTAATTTAAAATAAAAATGTTTTTGCCTGTTTTTGCTTTCTCAACAAATATTCAATTAGTTTTTTTTATTTTGTTATCAAGACCGACACAAGTTTATTATCTTTTAAGATATTATTTATGTATGTACATATATAAAATATGAAATATCAAGTACATCCTACAACTTAAGGAAGGCTTTAATAACTTTAAAAACTTCAATAAACCTTTGTTAAACATTATTTATTTCAATTATGACTTTATGGATTGACTTAAAATAATAAAAACCTGAAGAATAATTTATTATATAACTTACCAGAAAGGTTTATAAAACAATCTTTTATAAATTTTAGAAACCTTTATTAAATTCGGAAACTACATATTATACCGTATTTTTTTACATAATAGTGCGACTCTCTTTATTAGACCGACCCCTTCTAAAAACCGAACCTCTAGAGGATGGTTAAAAATAAACCGACCGGTCGCTCTATTAGAAGAAATACGGTATATTTTAACCCTCATGAAAATTTTCTTGAAAAATCTTTTTTGCTTTAGTTATCCAAAAATCAAATTTTTTTAAATATTGTTCTAAAATTTTGTTTTTTAAACAGTCTAAAAATGCAGAAATTGATAAAATTTAATTATTGAATTTTATTTACTAAAAAATACCATCGTCTCATCCTTTGAAGAGCTTTCCAACATAAACACAGCTTTTTTCTCCCTTATTTTTCAACACCGACTGACTAAACTAATTTGCTTATCCAGCATTTTAAAAGAGGAAAAAAGACTTGGCTATTTTATTCAAAAATATTGAGGCGGAAAGCGGCAAATGGAAATTTTGGGAATACTTTTAGTAGACTGGATTAGTCAATAAAACATTAATGTTTACTTTTTTGTAATAAAAAATTCCATTTATTAAATTAAAATTCAACTTTATTGTGAATTTTAATATTTTTGTATGAATAAATATTTTTTGGGATTTAAAAAGTTTTGCTAAATTAATATTTTTCAGTGAAAATTTTTACCATTTTTTATACCAATAAAATTTTCGAACGGCTAATAGAAATATTCAGTCAGCTTTTTTACTTTTTTTTTGCCCCATGTATATGTTGACCAGGTCTGCACGGAATTGCGGATTGCGAGTTGCGGATTGCGGAAATTGTGGGGGTTTTTGCAATTGCGAGCTGCGGAATCTTTTTTTGAATTGCGTGATGTCGACCTTTTTTGAATCATTTTTGTCATCTATTTGGGCTTTTTTACAACCTATTTAAGTGCCTATTTTTAAGTTTTTACAACCTAAAAATCCGATCCCTAATAATTACATATTTAATATTATTACCTATACTATAATTAATATAATTAACAAATTTCCGGAAATGAAAATTCCTGAAGGAACATCATTTCTCAATTTAATTTTTATTTTACTCTCCTTTGTAAAACTTTCATTCCATCAACTTGCCTGCCCAGTTCGAATAGTTTCTCACCGTTTAATTACTTCAGGTCAATATAATTCCGGAAAGGGGAATATTCACTCTGTAAGTGTTCTTCAACTATATTTTTTACAATTGACAATTTAAGATGAGTGGGATTTGGAGGCATTTTAGTACAGACAAAAGTACAATTCACAAACAGATTTCTGCTGCCTTAGGAAGTGAAATGATCGAGTCGAGTGTCCAAATGCCTGGACCTAATAATTCTGCAATTATTTATAGTGAACATTATGAGCCTGACAGTGAAAACAGCCTTTTTAATAATTTCAAGGCAAAATTTCATTAATAAATATGAGAATCTACACTAAAACAAAAAATAATAAACTTTAAATTTTAGTGCCAATTTATTTTTATTGGTGCACCAGACGAAAGGGTACAAGTCATTTTTCATTGGTTTCATCTAAGGTTAATGCCATCACTTACAATTAGCTCAAGAATAAATCTTAATCAAACAAACATTTTCGGGTAAATTATTTTTATTTTCTTTGTAAATTTTGTTAGCTGAAAAGAAGCTGAAAAATTGTATCTTATAATAAAATTTATAAAATTTAGGGAATGTTTCTAAGGTCAACCAACTCAAATATTTACACTCTCTAATAATAATTACCCCTTAAATCGTGAGATTTATTCAAGTAATTGCCTACCTTGAATAATTATTGACGTACCTGAATATGGGAATTGAATTTTACCCACTGGAAGTTTACCACTTTTTGCCAATTTTGCCCACTCGATGATACTCGAACTCGATTTTTCTTTAAATTTGGCATAAAATCTTTTCAAAAAATTAAGAGATAATTTTATAGACGATGTGAAGAAAGTGATCACCTTCTGGCACATGTCTTAGTCTGTACATGTTATTTTAAAAATATTTAAATTTAATTATCTAGTTAAATGAAAGAATGTCAAAAATTATTGAGTTTTGTGGGGATGAATTGCCAGCTCAATTAATGTCAGCAAATAATGTTTTGACATTAACTTATGTTTTAAAAAGTGCATTAATTGGGAGAGGAATTAACCAGTTTTCTGATAATAATGAAGAAAGTGAGGAAAGTAAGGAGGATAGGGAGCATCATTATGGATGGGTAATTTTAAATTTTTTTTAATATTGGAATTTAAATAGATTAAGTAGAAACTCATTTTTAGATATGCCCTAGGGCTGTAAAAATCACTAGGGCTGTAAAAATCACTTTAAAATGAGGTATTCTAATATAGGAGGGGTAACGTTTAGACAGTCCTCTACCTAATCGCTAACTAAATTAAAAAAAGCATATCTTAAATTGATGTGTTTATTATTAAGTGTGTTAATTGAGTTTAATAAATGTGAGATTAATAAAATATGTTTTAAGATAGCAGAATATCGTTTCATTACCGATTATGGCAACCAACCATCAATTCTTAATGGAAATGATTGTAATTTAAATTAAATAAAATTTCAAAGGAAGTTTAAAAAATAAAATTTTTAGCATGCTCGTTCCTCTTTGATGGGACTATAAACAAAACAGGAAATGTATGGAGCCCTAACTATCCCGGTTATTTATTTTTTTAATTAAGATAATAAAAGGGAGAAAGTCCATGAACACCTTTCCGGAAGAATTATAAAAACATAACTCCGAAAAAAGTCTCTTAATAAAATTCCAAAGGGACTTTAAAACTATAACCTATCTTTCAATGCTTGATTAAAACATTATAATCTTACGAAAAACATCTTTTATTTAATTCAAAAATAATTTCTTTTCTTTCATAGGCTTTTATCCACGAAATGTGGATTGCCAATATGTCTTTCTTGGAGCAAAAGATCAAGTTGTATTTGTTACTTTTGAATATTTTGATGTTGAAGGACGTGGACAGTAAGGAAAAATAATAGATTGAATTTTAATTTAAAAATTTATAAGGTGTGATGATAAGGCAAAAAGTGATTTTGTATTATTCAGTAATTACAGAACACGTGACCGGTTCTTATTTTAATTTATTATTTAAAATAATTTTAAAGAACAAATCGCCGATTTTGTGGAGCACTCAGACCTAAAGACACAATAAAGAGTGAAAGTAACTATTTTAGAATGATTTTCCATTCAAACGATATTTTTGATGGAACTGGCTTTTTCGCTCGTTATCAATTCTTTGATCAAGGCATTTTAAATTTTTTTTATTAAAATTTGATGTTTTTCCGGAAAACTTTAATAATTTTCGGAATACTAATTAAATATTAAAATTCAGGAAGCACTAAATTTATTATATTTTAATTAAGGCTCAACAAGAAAACTTCCAAAATTGATGAGTACAAGTAGCAGTAGCAAATTAAAAATATCTAGTATACTAACAACATTCTTAATCTTCATTGTTAGAATTTTGCTAGTAATTAATAATTAAATATAATTAACTTCTTAAATTTGTAAATACTATCATCTTACCTCATATTTTTCAATGCCTTGTTTTCACTGCCTTAATATTTTAATTGTTATTTAATGTTTATTATAAATTTTCATAACGAGATTTATAATTTTTTATATAGCTTTAATACAGGGTTCGGCTTTAGGACCTCCAAAATTCTTAAAATTTTCGCCTGTGGCACAAAAAATGGGAGAATTTTTGGCACCTACGGAGCCAAAAAAGTCTTGAAAATTTTTCCCCTATGTACTTCCGAATTGAACTTTTTGTACTTACACTTAGCATTTTCTCTATCCGAACCCTGCTATATTTTAACCGGTGTTGTATTAAAAAATTAATATTATCAATTATGATATCTTATCAATTCTTATTACTTGCAAATAAATTATCTTTTTGTAAATAAAAAATAAACTGCATACTTTAATATAAATAATTAATTATTTTTTAAATAAAATTGTACATATGTACATATTTTTCTTTTTCCCATTATAAATTATTGAATGATTACAAAATTAATTTTCCCTATCTAATATTAAAATAATTTCTTAGTCACCTATGATGGAAACAAGATATTTAATTCCTCCAAAATTAAACGATTCCAATCTTGGAAATAAAATTGTTGGTTATCGCCCTTGTCGGCATGGACCCCCTCGTGTAGAAATTGAAAAGAAAAATTATAATGGAATGATAAAAATAATTGGGCATAATTATGGGCATGCTGGTAGTGGTTGGACTCTTTCGCCTGCAATTGTTTATTATTTAAACAAACTTTTAATTGAAAATATTGAAGAAAGTAGAGGAGATACGGAAATAAGAGGGTCTGTTAATCTTTCTTATAATTCATAAATAATTTTCAAAATTAGTGTTAATGTGCCCATTTGTATTGTTGGAGCTGGGGTAATAGGCCTATTTACAGCCTATGATTTATTAAAGAAAGGATTCAATAATCTGACTGTAATAGCTGAAAGTTTTGAGGAATTAACTTCTCATATTGCAGGTAATATTTGAAAATATTATTAAAGCTTTTTTAAATTATAAAATTTAACATTACAAATTCACTGAATTTTTCTAATTCGTTTATTCCGGAAATTTTTAAAATTAAGTTACAAACTTGTTAGTGCAATTGTAAGATATAAAAACATTTTAACATTTTTACGGAAATATTAAATTAAAAAGGAATTACATTTTAAATATTAAAGGAGGCTTACTTGCACCTTTTGCTCTAGAAGTTGACAATACTGATGAACAAGATCTGATAGACAAATTTTGTATTGAAACTTGCAACTTTTATTTGGAAATTGCACAAGGGAAAAATTCTGAATTCTCTTCTGAATGTGTCCAAATAATGCCTGCTTATGTTGATGAGGCTGTTGCTAAGTTATTGGGTAGATAATTAAACGATATTTCTTATAAACACTAGGGTTGTTCCCAGTCCCCGTCCCGAAAGTCGGGGGAATTTGAGAGATTTTTTGAAAATTCCCCGCTCCCCCGTGGCGATGTTTTCTGGAACAACCCTAATAAACACTTTTCGGGAATAACACAGAGAGATTAATGTAAATAAAAATAATTCATCTTTCCGGAAAGTTAAAAATTAAAAAGAAAATTTATTTAGAGCCTTATATTACTGCCGGAATAATGAACCCTCCAAAACAAGTAAATGTTCAATTCAAAAATACTTGTCCAAATAAAAAACAAAAATTATTATTTGTTATTGACAATGCTATATTAGTACAAACAAATTTAATGATGAAAAAACTTTACAAATTATTAAAAGAATCTGGCAAAATTAATTTTATTAAAAAGAGAATTGAATGTTTTGAGGAAAATATTGAAGAATTTGATGTAATTATTAATTGTAGTGGAATTGGGGCAAAAAAGCTTTGTTTGGATGAAAAAATGTATTCAATGCAAGGACATTTAATTAATCTTAAAGGTGTTTTCTTCAAATTTATGTGGATGTTCACTGATTTTAATTTAAATAAATCACTCTATTATAACCTCCAAACTTTCCGGAAACATTAATTAAATATTACAATTTGCTGAAAAAACTTATGGAAGCTTTAAAATAAATACCTATATTAGCTTTATAATTTAAATAAATTCATTCTTGTTTAATATTCTATTAATTCCTGGAAATGATTTAACAAGAGTATAGCAAAAGTTTAGCCACCGGACAAGTGAAGGCCAACGGGCAGGACTAGGACCACCTTACAAATATAATTTATAATTCGTAAGGTGAATCATCCTTACAAATTATAAAAATTGCAACTTTCCAGAAAAAGCTTGAGAACTAATTAAAGCTTTAATTTATCCTAGACAACCATCCCGGAAGAATTATTAAAATCGCCCGGAAAATTATTAGAACCTCTGAAAAATTTACTTTCCTTTAAAATTCTTGTGGGCAGCTCTTAATATTTTTATAAATAATTTTGAACTAATTTTGAGGACAAAATGAAGCTGATCTAAATTATATTATTACTTGTCATGGTGAAATAGGCAAATCAGAAAATGGCCAAATTATAGAGAGACCTTTATACTTTTTTCCTAAAAGAATACATTCTTCTAATTTTACTCAAAATAATTCTTTGGAGGAAAAAGAATGTTTTGGTGTACTTGGTGGAACTTTTGTTCAAGGTGTGTATAATTAAATTTAAAAAATTTTTAAATTTATTTCTTTAGATGCTGATGAAAATTCTCCTAACTCTAGTGAATTTAATTTGCTTATTCAAAGAGCACGTGACTTCTTTTTTTCTTAGATAAATATTATCCAATGCAACTAAATCAAAGCTATATTTATTTCCAGAAGAATTTTTATCTTTAAATTTCAAATATATTTTCTGAATTACTCTTTATTAAATTAGCGAGAAAAAATTTTTATCTAGAATAGAGCTTTATTTAATTGTGATAAATCGAGTAGATCCACTTTTTATTTGTTAATGAGGGCATTATGCGTTAGCTAGAACGTCGAATTGTTTATGTTTATTGAAAATTTTAAAAGCCTATAAATTACTGACAACTCATATTTTGGAAAAGATAAAAAATATATAATTTGGATTACCCCCGATAGGTAATCCAAATTATCTCTGAAGATATTTTGTGTAAATTTAACTGTATTTGCAATTCTAATTTTATTCTTTTTTTAAAAAATTAAATAAATAAACTTCCATTTTTTATGTTTAAAAAATCGAAGGAAAGTTGTAGTTTAATTTTATATACTATTTCTATTTTTGGTTTGGCCTTATGACAGCGATTTTGATTTATTTAAGATTAATTAATCAAGTTGCGGAACAAAAAAAAAGAGAAATTTTTTATAATATATAAAACCTTAAAATTATTTCCCACACAATCATTTTTATTTAGAACTTTCCAGGGAAAATTATTAGGTTGGAGACTTAATTGGAGATCGAATCGAGATTAGATCTCGAAGAAGATCTCGCTTATGAGATCGATATCTTTCGAGATATAAATCCTGATCCTCCTACGACACTCCCAGTTCGGTCTCTAATGTAGGAGACCTTAAGGACCTTTAGGAAAGAAATAAAATTTACCCAAGTAAATCTTAAAAGTAAAATTATCGAAAAAAACAAATTAAAAAAACAAAACAAAAAATTTTTTTGTTTTTCAATTTATATTTAATTTTAAATAAAATTTGTGTACTTTTATTTTTTTCTACCTTTGTAGCAATTAATTTCTTTTTAAACTCCAACCTGTTTCAATTTGTGAACTTTTTATCTTTTTGTTTATTTTGTTAAAAAATAGATTAAAATAATATTTTAAAAAATATTTTAAAATAATGTCAAGATTTGTATTACTCCTTTTATTATTATTCATTATTTGTATAGCAGCGGCTCCTTTGAGTAAGTTTAATTTATTAAAAATTGTTCTCTGTAACTTTACATAATATACAAAAAATTATTAAAGGACATCTTATATGGGATCCTTTACTTCATGGAATTACTCCAGAAGCCAAGCGGGATTATGACAAAGCAATATCTAAAGGAAACATTCGACTAGCTGAGGAAATACGGCATAGAATTGGACATGAAATTATTAGTGCTTTCTGGGCTGGGTAAAGAAAACAATTAAGTTTTAATTTAATTATGAAAAATTCCAGAGTTCATGTTAGTCAGCTACGCCCAATTATGAAGGAATGGGATTTGGATTTTAGTGCAATGAAGAAATAAAAATTTAAAGTAAAACTGATATTTATATGTTTTAAAATTAATTATTAAAATAACAAACTTTAAAAATTTCTGTATATTTTTAAATAAAAACATTTCTTAATGTACCTATGAAATTTATTAACTGTATTATATTTTAATTTTATTGAATAAAAGCTTGTTATAATTTTTGAAGAAAAATTTTCTATCATGAAACAAACAATCAACTAATTAAAGTTGAAATTTTTCAAGTTATGGACCTATTGCTTGATCCTCGGGCATTGTCCACGTAAAAATTTTTTCTACTCAATTCACCGAGGGTAACCTGAAATACAATGCGTTTCAAGCTAAACTATAGTGTTGAGCGTGCTCTTTCAAATATTAAAAAATCCCGCAGTCCAACGTAGATCCCGCAATCCTGAATTTCATAGTTTAATTTAAACTTATCAGTAAACTTTTCTGAAAAAGATACTTTTTTTTATTTTTTTTCACTCACATTAAACAAGCATTCTTTCATAATTGTTTACTTATCTAAAATTTTTCTTTGATAAAGCATCAAAATATTTCGAAATTTAACATTCTTATTTTTATATTTATTTTCACTTAAGTGTTATTTAAAATGCACTATAGTTGCACTTTTGTCAATTAACACGTTTAATATATTTATTTTGTGTCCTGTTTAATCCCCTTCTATGTCTGTTATATTTATTTAAAATTCAAAAAAGATACATAAATATTTATTAATGTTCGGATACGGAAAAAATTTTAAAAATATTTTATGTTCGCTAAAACTTATATTTAAGGTGGATATGAAAGGGCTAAATTAAATAATATTTTTAAATTAAAATTTCAGATGTTTATTAAATTTATTATTATTTCTCTTTTATATTTTGTTTCTCTTTTGAATATTCAATGCAACGGAAAATCAGTTCGTGTTGAGGTGAAAATCAAAAATGATTGGGAAGGAAAAAGAGAATTTATTTATTTAAAAAATGTTGAACCAAATAAACGTTTTGTAGTGAAAAAAATTGAAAAAAATAGCAATAGATATGCTAGTTTTAATTATAATATAGAAGGATTTTTGCGTCCAGTTGATTTAAATATTAAAAGCAATACTTTTAGTGTTGAACTAGCACATAGATCAAGATATATTCCATCTATTCAATTAAAAAAGAAAATTGTGATTGAGATAGCCAATGATCAAAATATTCAGGATTTTTTGCCGGGATTTGAAAAACAAGTATTATTATTCGTTTATTTTAACCAACAGAGCGTATATTTTTTTGCCAAAAGTTAATCACTTTTGTGAAATTTTAGCAACCGAAAACTAGAAATTTACGAGAATGAGTGATTTTTTTAAATTCTCTCAAAATAAAACGGTATTAGACCAAAACTCAAAACCGAAAACAGGGGTACCAGTTAATAACCGGTTGTGTCCTTCTATTATTTACCGTTTATCCTCCAATAATTACCTTTTCTCAAATAATTGTCCCGTTTCAATTAATTACCCCATTCAGATAGTTCAAGCAATAATTACTCTCCGTCAAATAATAAGACTCGAATAATTTCCCCCACTAAATTAACTACTCCAGATTAGTGTTTCACCGGAACCGAAATTTTGACCGGAACCGGAACCGGATCCAATTTAAGTTCCGGTTCCCGGAACCGGAACCGGAGCTTTTCAAAGTTCCGGCCCGGAACCGGATCCAATTTAAGTTCCGGTTCCCGGAACCGGAACCGGAGCTTTTCAAAGTTCCGGCCCGGAACCGGAACCGGAACCGGAACTTTTAAAAAAATTTTTGCTAGCACATTTTAAAAAATTTTTATTTTAAGTAGGGGTGCGGTTTCGCCAAATTTTTCGATTAAATTCTGCCAAATTCTTCTGTTAATCGAAACGAAAAAAAATCCAAGTTTTGGAAGACCAAATCCCCAGCTATTCAATCCCTGATATCTAACTTGCACAGCTCATTACCTGGACATCACACCCAAATCCCTCTATATTACATATAACCCCTTGAACTCACATAATGTAACTCAAAATCCACCTTCATCCATCCAAATCCTTCGATTTACCATACAACTTCCCTTCATAGCGCCGCAGACGAAAATTTTGGGATTTTAGGTGAACCAAGGATACAAATTTCTTCCTTTTTAAGCGCCGCAGGCGAAAATTTTGAGAATTTGTGTGACCAAGTAGCTAGATTTCTTCATTTTCTTGCGCCGCAGGCGAAAATTTTGAGAATTTTGGAAGGCCAATCGGGGAAAGCCAATCCATATTTCTTAAAAAACTAATCCTTAGTGGTGTAAAAAAGTTCCGGTTTGCCCGGAACCGATTTGAAAACCGGAGCCGGAACCGGAACCGGAACCAATTTGAGTTCCGGTTCCCGGAACCGGAACCGGAACCAAAAAAACACCGGAACTTTCCGGAACCGGAACCGGAACTTCCGGTGAAACTCTACTCCAGATGTTGAAATAATAATTAACAAGAGCTTTATATATTTTTATGAATATATAAAATTCACTAATTGTATGTATTTAAGGTATTCTTAAATAATAAATTTGCTGATATGAGTAATAATTATTTTCAAGCATCTATATTAGATGAAAGTTCAGATAAAAA